AATCACCCCCTTTCCGCTTGTACCACCAGTTCCCAACCACCCTGTATATAGTTGCACAGTGTATAATGTACATATATGTATACACAACATTATACATTAACCCTTTGCACTGTTACGTGGAGTGTGAATCGACATCAATTTTTATCTCAGCAGCTTCTTTGTCGAGTCTCAGCTTTTTTTGCGAATCGTCTGGATGTTTGAAATATATTGCGTGAAACGTTTTGATGTTGTTCCAACAATGAGTAACTTTAATTAACTCGAACAAGAAGAGCGTTACCCATATTTGGGTTACGGGGTTCCACAGAAGCACACCCGTCACATAGATACGGGTGACGTGGTGACCAACGTGTTAAAAAGTGATTAATCCAATATGTCAATAAAATCAACAGAAAATGTTCTGCCAATAACGAACAAATATATTATTGTCTACAAATAGCACTTGTGTATGCATCATCTTGAATGCCGGACTCAGGAGTCGTCGACAGAAAAAATACAAAAAAATACTAATGGATACAGAACCCATAACAAAATAAGAGAAAGCATCAAACCAACAGAACACAACTCTGACACCGCATAACACAGGTGTAAAATTGTAAATATTGCAAACACTTGTAAATAAACCTATTTGACCTCCTCCCCGCCCCATCCCTCTCATCCCCCCCCAAAGTCACACAACACCCAAAAAGCAAGCTACCGAAGCGTCCTGTTTTGCAACCAAGTTTTCAGGACAGAAAAAACAAAGACAAAATCACACAGAAGCTCCGCTCCCCCAGCGGCTTAAACCTAATAATCATATTAAACACGAAAAATGTAAAGCGCCGACACATATCATAGCATGGCTACGTCGTACCGTCGCGTATCGGTACTTTTGCCAAAAACATCACTACAAAAATTCACCGTTTATCGTGAACACCAAAAGGTATTTAAAAAACTTGTATCTTGGGCTTAATAAACATAAAAAAAAACTCGTTACAATGCTAATGAGATTTTTAAATGTTTTGTATAATATACACGCGAAAAGTTCCTACAAGTGTTCGAATACTTTCTAACACTGTATATATCTTTCACATCCGATAACAGAACGAACGCAGGAAATCTCGACGATGGTGAGATAATCATTTTCTAAATCGGTCATTTTCTAAATTCCTCGTTATTTTCTTACACTTTGCAAAATGATTACATTTAAAAGAAAATAATTGCATTTGCGAGAGAAGACTATTATAATATTTCCTTCTATCGCGGTACGACATATCGTGAAAATACACACTCACGCGCAATCTTGGCACAGCCAGTAGTCCTTCTCGTTGATAAACCTCCAGACGTTCATGGTCTTCAAGGCATTCTGCTCGGCGGCCAAGGAATCGGCGTCTAATTTATTCGACCCTCTGTTGAGAATGGCCGGATCTGCGAATTGTGTCACTAGGCCATCCTTCAGCAGAAATTCGATCGTGCGCTTAATCATTTCCTGCCTGATATCCGTGTCCTTGGCAGAGACGTCCAAACGGTCGGTCCATGCGGCGACCATGTTCAGGAATTTCTTCACTCGTGGAAATCGTTTTGCACAGTCCGAGTTCGACTCGCAAACAAACTCCTCGAGCATCGCGCGAATCCTGTTTTCCAAGCTGGGACCCAAAAGTGGTTTGATCCTGTCGAAGCACGGGCCGAGTTTCGCGAATCCCAGGACTCCATTGTTGCTGATGCAAGATTGATTCTAGGATATTGTTGAACGTGAATGATTAAAAAAGTAGCACGTATACATGGCGTTTAAAAATAAATATCCGCAAGCCACTTTCTTACTTTCGACAAGACGTATTTTGATTAGAAAATTAGGAATAAATTGAGTCGCAGTAATTGTATCCTTTATAATAATCGTTCATTCTGAATTTGTTATCATTTTATCATACTGTCAGAGAGCGAGAATGCATACAATTACACAATAGTTGACTTTGATCGGAACCATCTTTCGATTATAGAAACAAAGTTTGGATTTTGAATTAGAAATGTAAGGATGAACAATGTGACATACCATTTTATTTTTGCTGTTTCTCTTTTCATTTGTATGATTAACTTGTATGGAGTGTGTTTAAACAGAATGTAATGAGGTTAGCCGATAGATCAATGGTGTTTCACGTTACTACAAACGTTTGATGAGCTTTGTATCGTGCATGCGTGATTCCTTCGTTCGTATCACAGGAACACGTGTAGTATCTAATTAGTTGCCACATGATCCAGGAGTTTCGATTTGTTTGGAACCGATATTTTCCATCTCGTACAATGCAAAAGCTTCGATTACAGCTTGAAGTTGACCAAATATAGAAACCTTTAGAATTAGTATATAATATAATATAATAGAAAGGCCTGTGGAAAAATCTTGTTCGGTAATTAGGATGGAAGAATATAATATTTAACAATCTTGCATAAAAAAATAAACAAATAAAAATAAAAATAAAGTATGAGATATGTCCAGAGGTTTCTTAGTCGTCCCAAAAGCCCGAAAATTGATCAATTACAGATTCTTCAAAAGAAGGTTTATGGATAAACTAATTTCGGTCGTACGAGTTAACTTTGTTAATTTGAAACAGAGGGTCAGCTAGGAAAATCGAAGACCGAGCAAATATGCTAATGTGCTTTGGCTTAAGTGCAGCTCCGCGAGGGTCCTTTCAAACCAGGGACAGCGATGAAAGAAAGGAGGGATGCTGTTGCGGGAAAGAGCCGTGCGAACGAGCGAAAAAAACCCGGCAGCGTTTCTACTGACCTCGCTTCGAATGACAGATGCAATTACCGACAAACAGATATTGCGGGTGGAAATGCAGAGTACGTTAAATCGAAGAAGAAAACAAAGAAACGAGAGGGATAGCTTCTGAAGAAGCGCGAAGCTTTAAAAAACTTTAAAAATGAAAAACTCGAAAGAAGAAAAAAATAGAGTGGGGCGGATGTTTTGTTGATGAAAATAAAAATTAAGTGAGGAAAAGAACAGCAATGGAACGAAATTATTAATAGAAGGGAATATAAATTAGCTAAAATTAGTTAAAATTTAGTGTTTCGATAATTCAAGATTTATGAAAAGCTCGGACGAGTTACAGGCAATTTTTAGTTAAATGTCTCAATCGAGTTATGATAAAACAGATCGTTCGGATTGCGGAGAAGTAGGGCATCGAATTTCTACTAGAAAGGCATTAATTCATTTCTACTTGAATGTGGAATATGCAGAAGCAAAGATAGGAATTCCTCATGACTTTCCTTCCCTCCCCTCAATTCCTTCGTTTGTCATTCCCCTTCATTCGCGTACATTCCTTTCCTTTTCTCCTTCCTTTCCTTCATTCACAAAAAAATAAGATAAACGAACTGGTGATCCCAGGAAAGGTGAAATGTAGGCGAAACATGTGACTACGCCATCATCGTCAAAAATAAACCGACGTCATACGATATTAGACAGAACCCCTTAGAACTAAAGCTATCTTTAAACTCGCCACCTAAAACTAGAACTAAAAATCGAAGAAACTAAAAAACAGGTCAGGCTCGAAACAGAAAGTGAAATAGAACCTTCCCACGTTCCTTAGGAATAAGCACACGCAAGCACGTAGTCCGAAACGAAGAAACAACCCACATAAAACGGAGCCGAGTGCAAACCGAAAGGGAAGGAAGGAGCAAGAGTATGAAGAAGAGGACAGGGATGGAGATTCGCGCTTCCAGGATTCAGGGTGAGATGGTTATAGCCCATTCACACAGTGGCTCCGTGGAGATCAATACTCGTGACGGCGAGACACAGCGTAACAACCCCACGCCGCCCACTCTTCGAGAATGCTACCCTCCACGCATTCGCTAGAAAAGGTTCTGGCCTATTACGATACGACTGATCAGCGTGAAATCTAAAACGACTAAATATACAGCGATCGTAAACACTCGATTGAAATGTTAAGCTGTAATTCGTTGAGAAGTATAGAAGATGACCTTTTACTACTGAAACGTCATTCCTGGACATACAGAGAAAGATTGATATTGTGATAAATCCTAAAATTGTAGGTCTCTCGACTCGTTGTTACTCACTCTGCGTACTGAGATGTTAGCCTAGGTGCTAATGATTAGGTTACTGATTCTTGATTGTAGGAAATAAATTAAAAGATGCAATGGTCGTTTTTTATAAAGATTATTTCTTTATTTTGTCCAGATCGAAGGAAGGCACGTCTTATGTTTCAGATCGAACTCTTAAAGATTGACCGTTAGTAAGAAAACGTAAGGAAAGAATATCGGTGTTTACTCATTCTAAACAAATGGTTGCTATCTCATTCTCCTATTTATATTGCAACCTATGTTTACGTTAATTTATTTTCAATATGTTGAATACTTTTTGTTGTTGCATACTACACACCCGCACTCATATCTCGTAATAATCCAACACCGATTTATATGGTTTTATACGAAATTAATATGAAAAAATATTGTATGAAATATTCTAAGTATAATTAAGGCCTTCTAGATTTGTTAAAAATTGATTAATGATTATTATTACTATTATTAATAATTATTAATGAAATAGATTTATTAAAAAAGGATTAGACAAAATAATTTTCTATCGAGATTCTACTTTCTTAATTATATTCTCAAAAATATGACTATAAAAATTAGTAGGCTATTGATAACAAAGGCGTCTCAAAGTATCACTATCACTGTCTGAATAACGACACCTTCCTAGCAACGTTAGAGTGCTATGGGCCTCTAGCAAAAATAAGAATTATACATATGCGTTGTTCTAACAAGAACAGTGGTCGCTAATAACCTTGATAGTTGATGACTTTAAATAATAAAAGCGGAAGGAAACAACCAGAAACCACGCTCGTTTGAGAAAACTGGATTATTCACAGTGAACAAATCGTGAAACGATGTGTTAACACGTTACACTACCACGAAGACCGCCGATAACAGGAAATAAGCAGCACGTACAGAATTGATAATATTGTCTATACTAGCAAATATAGAAAATATTCATCGCGTCTACTTTTTACCGTTTCACAAATATTTGCAACATGAAGTATTCCACGTCATAAATGTTCGATATCATAACGCACGCTTCCATTTTATTTATCAAATAAAATCTGTAACACATGTTCAAAAGTAACATGGATGGAAGCGCAACTTGTGCACGAAAGAAGACATAAAACTACCCTTTCGTGACGAAGAAATCTATATCATAGATATATATCGAGCATAATATTCGTGACGGGGAAATGGATGGAAATAAAAAGTCATCCCTTGAATTAACGCGCATCCCTCGTACGTTTTGGTCATTTAACTGCCGATAACATTTCTATTGACGTACGTGACGAGCCCCATGCGTTTTGACGCACCAGCAGGGAGACATTTGCAGAGTTATCGAACCATTCGATATCGAATCTCACGTTGAAAACACTTATTTGCGCTTTTTTATCGTTAATGTCATCGTAAAAATTGATTTTCATAAAATTTTACCTTCATAATTTAACGATGATTTAATCTATGAAATAATAAGCAAACTGCCATTCTAATTTTAATAATTCGTGATATAAAATTTTAACAATATACAATTTTGTGTAAAGAATAAGAAACGAATTTAAACTTATATTTCTTAATTTTTAAACGAGGTTACATTTTTTTGTATAATTAACTTGGATAATTTTGTTTTTGTTTAATATAAACAACGAGTGAGATAAATTTGTCAACTAGAAAGAACTGAGCGTAGGGATGACTAAAGATATAAGAAGTTGTATCTGATAATAAGATAACTCTTCGTTCATCTCCTTTATCTCCTTAGAAACAGGTAATCTTCTGTTCCTACACCTTTCCCTCCTTGTGTAGTATTTCCGACATTTTTTCCAGAACATATAATACAAAACATAATAAGTGGATTATAAGATTATTAGTAGATCGGATGACTATAAGATAAATAAAATAAAATTATATAAAGATCTTTCAATAGATAGTAAGAGTAAGATTTATATTTTCGAAAATTATTAATATAAATTACTGTTAATTATTATTTAAAAAGAAATTTTCTTAGAGAAAAATATAGATAGAAATACATGATCACATAACATGGATAAAAGAAGTCGTTTATCAAAACCTATTTTCGAGGTATTAGTTTCCTAAATTATTGATCCAATTACTGGAGCGTGCCGCGTTTATTAAATCAAATAAGCATTAAAATATGTTATCAACTAGAAAATAAAATTTCCTCAACGTATAAAAACCAATTGACAAAGACACTTATCCAACGATTAAAAATACATAAGAAATAGTTTTAAAATTTAGTTTTTAAAATGAAAAAATACATCAGATTCCAAATGTTTGTACGTATAAACCTGCACTAAATAATATAAGATAGAGAATAATTATAATTGTGTTTTTACAAATTTTTAATTATTTTATACTATTCTTAATTAAATTCTTCGTTCTTAATCAAATTCGACTACACGATAAAATTATACATATTGCGTTACAAGTACGCAACTATTCGCAAATTTCGTATGAACGCAAATAATTTGCGATTTATTCGTTCGCTATAACAGAATGATTTGTAGACAAGACGAGATGTTCCTCTTGCGCGAGAACATGATTCAATAGAGAAGGTAATTTTCGTTGGTGGACGCGGAAACACGGTAGCAATTCGATTTCAGAAATTGAATTGGAAGTATGCAAAGCGAGACAATTACTAATGGACGTTTATATACGACCATAATGAATGCTTGGGGTCTTTTGATCTCTGAGCCCTTGTTGATGTCGTCGTTTCCATTTTGCATTTTAGTCCTTCCATCAACTGTGTTCTATGAAAGCGTTAGCATCTATGCAACATGGATTTCGTCTTCTCAACGTTTCTCAAAAAATTTTTCACAAACTTTCTTGTCACAGCAACGTTCTTTATTTATTTTTTCACTCGTTACTCTTCTTCCGAAAATCTTACAGAAATTTAACTAAAATATTCTCTTCGGAATAATTTTCAAAAAAAAGTTTAAAAACTAACCGAAAGGATAATAATAAAAATAAGAAGTTTTCTTTTTACAAGCCCTATATAAATTACAGTAATAGTAGAGAAAGAGTAAAAGTAGTAACGAGTCAATAAATAAAATGCAAATATCGAAGAGAATACGACAAGGCCACGACCTATAAAAATCTTCTAAACACCCACACCAAAAAGAAAATACCAAAACCCGGAGAAAAATTCCAAAAGGCTGCCAAAAATTTGCGCATTCCAGAGTCTGAAATTCCATGCTTAGCCACTTCATTCATCGAACGGCGAGAATACCTCGGTCTGGTCCAGGAATTAACATGGAGCCGGTGAGCCACAGACTCTCATCCTTAATAGCAGAAACCACGTCACGAGGCTCGGTTGTGGGCCGACCTTTGCTCGTAACACGGTTTTACG